TAGCGTGGATTCTAAAGTTTAAATCTATGCTGTTGGAACTTGTACAAAAGAGAAAGATTCTTACTGCCACAGAGACTCCCACTAATTCAACTAGAGTGGACAAAAGGATGACGGACATCAAAGCTAAATGGAAAGGAAGTCACATTTCAGTTGAGGATTTGAAGGATGCTGAGCTTGAAATAGTGAAGTACTGTCAGAGAGAAGTTTGCTGAGAAGGTATCAGCTTTGCAAAGTGGACAAGCCATAAAAAAGGCAGTTCGATCTACAGGTTAAACCCTCAGTTGCACAATGAAGTTTTACATGTCGGTGGAAGACTTAGCAATGCTGCTATGCCGGAAGAAATCAAGTGGCCTATGATTATTCCGAAGGATCTTCATGTCACTAACTTGATCCTCCAGAATGTTCACGAGAAAACAGGACACGGTGGCAGAAATCACATGAATTCTACACTGCAACAGAAATACTGGATACCAGGTGCCAAATCTGCAATCAGAAAAATGCTTGCAAGATGTGTTATTTGTCGTCGTTTACATACCCCCACAGGAAAACAAATAATGGCAGATTTACCATCAGACAGGGTGTCACCAGATGATCCACCTTTTACAAGAGTAGGTGTAGATTACTTTGGACCATTCATGGTTAAACATGGAAGGAGCCTTGTCAAGAAATATGGAGTTATCTTCACTTGCTTGGCAATTCGTGCAGTGCACATCGAGGTTGCTTCTTCGTTAGACACTGATTCCTGTCTAAATGCTATTTGTCAGTTTATAGCCAGAAGGGGACAAGTGAAAGTTCTCAGGTCAGACAATGGGACCAATTTTGTAGCTGCTGAGCGTGAGTTGAGACAATCCATTGAAAAATGGAACAACCAGAAGATTCAGGACCATCTCAGTCAACGAGGAATTAAGTGGGTTTTCAATTCTCCCACTGGGTCTCATCATGGGAGAGACTGATACGCTCAATAAGAAAATCCTTAATGCTACAGTTAGAGAACAGTTCTTGATGAGGAATGCCTTCAAACTGTTTTCTGTGAGGCAGAGGCTATAATCAACAGTCGTCCAATCACAGCAGCATCAAGTGACATAAATGATCTGGAAGCTCTGACCCCGAATCACTTGTTGTTACTCAAGACAAAGCCATCATTGCCTCCAGGACTGTTTGACCAAGACGACCTGTATTCTAGACGCAGATGGAAACAGGTGCAGTACGTTTCTGATTTGTTCAGGAAGCGTTGGCGTCGGGAATACTTGCCACAATTGCAACAAAGACAAAAGTGGAATAACACAACAAGAAACTTCTCTGTTGGAGACATTGTTCTGGTAGTTGATGACTCTGCCCCCGGGAATTCATAGATGTTAGCAAGAGTCATTGAAACTATTCCTGACAAGAAGGGGCTTCGTCCGACAAGTCCGCATTAAGACAAAAACGAACATTTTGGAAAAACCTATAACAAAACTTTGCCTGTTGCAGGAGGCAGAATAAGTATTTAGTGAAGGCAATATGTCTTTAGGAACCTAAATTTGTGATGCTTTGGACTTTAAGATTTCACCAAGGATTAAAATAATATGGCTCCTTATGTTTAAATGTAAGTAATTGTTTCAAAGACTTTGAGAACAATTAGGGGGCGGTAATGTAGGAGCCTATTTTTGTTCAGATTCAGTAACCAATGTTATATTATGTGATGCATTTCAGCTTTGAATATTTTGGTTTGGATTGTTTGCACTTGTAAACTTACTTTATTCACGTGTACAATTTAGACAAATATTCTGTATTTTACATTGAAAATGTGTACTATGTTGAAATTGTGTACGGGCTCTTTAAGAATCGCGTCTGTTAAGTCAAGGGTCGGTCACACTGCACTTTCCGTTCCATTGACTTCCATTCATACGCATGCAAATGTGTAAGACCGGAAACCAAGCTCATTCGAAAAATTTCGCATTTCGGGGAGGTCCAAAATGGCGCTCTGATCAGACGCATGTTGATGAGCTCCGCAAACTCAGCTGTTTATTTTGTCTTGTAATGCAGGTAGAAAAGCGTTTGAACTCTTAATTTGTACCAGATCACATTTAACCAGTGTTAAATTTGTAGTAGCTGTCAAAATGGGAAAATAACTTTTCACCACAAAGATGTTTTATTTGGAACAATAAGAACATTTTATTCAAGAATAAGTCTCTGTTTTATGATAGTTGGTTCAGTAATGGTTTATTTTTGGTGGAGCAGTTGTTTAATGAGCAAGGTCTTTTGTTCAGGTACTCAGACTTTCTTTCCAAATACGAAATACCAATAACACCAAAAGAATTTGCTACAGTTTTGGGAGCTATCCCCTCTGGTTTATGTATGCTTTTTAAAAACTGTAATTACTCATCAGTATCTACTGCTTCCTTTCCTAAACCTTGTGATACTCCTGTTGGTCAGATTTGTTTCTCTGAGTCGAAAGCCAAAAATGATAAAAAACGATCTTTATTTCTTAAGAGTCTGATTTCTGCTCCACCTGTGATTTCCTTTTGGAATAATTTGTTTGTTAACCTAAATTGGAAAAAAATCGGGTCTCTACAGCAAAAATTCTTTCTCACAAACAAAGTGAAAGAAATTTATTTTAAGCTCATACACAGGTGCTACCCTGTAAAGAAGTTGATACAAAGATTTAAATCTGACATTGAGCTTGCATGCTCTTTTTGTTCGAATTCTGAAGAAACTGTGGTATACTTATTTTGGTCATGTCACTACACTCAGAAGTTTTGGGATGATATTGGTGTGTTTGTCAAGTGTAAGATTTTGCCAGGTTTCTCAGTACATATGAAAAACATTATTATGACTCTGACCCCTCAAACGAACATATCGGTTTTGTTAATAATTAAATTTTTTTCCTAAGCAAATTTCACATTCACAAATGCAAATTTTCCAACTGTAAACCTGTCTTCTCTGTCTTCCTAAAAGAAATGGAAAATGATTTGAATGTAATTTCAGTATCTACTAATAAGAAAGCTATAAGGACTGTTAGGATTTGCTCTGCCTTTGATCTCTTCATGTAATCAGGTTTAGATGATGGCCCTCTTATCTGTATTTTATTATTTTTGTGATTTGTTTCCATTTTATTTTTGTGGTTGATATTATGTGATGTATGTTTATTCTTTGTATGTTTCCGTTCTCTGCAATAAAAAAAAAAAAAAAAAATTCGCATTTCGCTGCGTTCCAAAGTTCAAGTTTGGTGAACTCTGACCTGCGAATTCGCATCACGTGAAGACGTGTGACCAGTAGAAGATCGGAACGTCACTGCGTGACCTCTCTGTACAGAAAATCAAAAATGGAGGAAGCCTAATTTTAACCTTAGTGCAGCGTCCTATTTTATATAATACATCTTTAAAAGATTATAAAAATCAAATAAAAAAAGAAGCTGCATGGTTCGCGGTGTCAATGGAAAACCAAAATTTATTCAGACACATTGAACATTTCATTCATTAATACATTTATTTTGTTTCTTTAATTTAATATTTAATCAAAAACTTTTAGTCAAGATTAAAGCAGTATATTGAACAAGAAAAACGGAGTACATGGACTGCTTTATTGGACACGGAGCGAGTAAAAACGAAAGTGAAACTGATGCGCACTCACAACATTCATAACAGCATCAAAGGAACCAAAAGAAAGAACGAAGAAAGAAAGACGTCTATCAGATGTTTGTACACAGCAGATGCTTTCCAGAGATCTTTAACAGACGTACCTGTGATATCTGGGTGAGCTCATAATAGCCATAAAATACAACTTTTTTTCAGCTTAGCTGCACACATTGTGCCTATATTTTGTTCTGCAGACTAATTATACCCATTACAGAGCGTGTGTAATGATGTATTTATATAATTTACTAAAAAACAACTCTAAGCACAATTTAGTAAACGAATACAACTTAAAATTCAGCAAAATAGATTAAATAAACCTTAATTTAATGTATTGATTAACCCATCTTTTATTTATTTATATGTTTCAAGTAATAAATGCATATTTAGTTCCTCCAAAACTCACCTGCAGCTAGTCTTTGACCCAAATTACATGACTGATGCGCCCGTTTAGTCGCTCACCCGAGACAGAGGATAGGACAGCGTTCCAGCCCCACAGAAGAGCTCGCATTGGTTGCTCCGCGTCTTCTGGCGGGTGAGGAACGATCGAGCCAGCTGATGTAGTTCGGAGAGGGGCGGGGCCGAGCGGCGGGAGACGCGCGCGCTGGAGGCGGGAAGAGAGTTTCCCGCGCTTTGACCTGAGGGAGAGAAACAGGCTCTACAACACAACCGTCTCTCGCTGCTGTTTTCACTGCTTTCAGGTAAGTTTAGTCCCTAAAATCACACAAATATTACATACAAACGTTCCTGACACGTTTCTTATTGTAATTGACATGTTTCTATTGAATATTTATTTTATAGAAATGGTTTAGCCTCTTCGAAAAAGTCCGTTAGCATCTCAACCGTTTTCAGACGAGGTAGGCTAACTCTGTAGATTGAGCTCTTGTTTACGAAACTTTGGGCTTTTAATCAAATCTTCATGTGTATGAGATGTTTTGATAGATCTGTAAAGGTTTTGCTGGCGATTTGTCAATGGGTTATTGGAAATAGGATAATGTACTTAACCTAAACATATACACTGTACTGTGACCCGATGACGCCACTCACATGGAGAGTATAATCAGCTGAAAACAAGTTCAAACTCGTTTTGATCTTTCATGGTAAACAAATATTGATAAACTGTTCTGTGATTTCAGGAGGACAGAAAGAAACTCTACAGAACAGATGGGAAGCTCCAAGATTTCAACATTTCTGAAGGAGCTGCTGACGGAGAAGTAGAAAATACAGGTGAACTGAAGAAGCTCGTGAAATAACTTAATATGCATTTTTTCCTATATACCCATGCACCTGTTATTTCCTTTGGCAAAATGTATATATATCTATATATCGATCAGGGCTCCAGACTGCGATCAAATAGTTGCATTTTGCGACCATTTTTTCCTGCTGGTGTGACTAAATTTTTTTAGAGGTCGCACAATGGCTGCGAGAATTTGAGTGGCTAAAGTACAAAAAAGCGAGTAATGAAATGTATTGTGTATACTATATTGTACACAGTGTGGAGCTAGCGCAGGAAACACAAAATTTGCAAAAGGGTGTTCAAACTTCAAACATGAATCTATAAAGCTCCACACTGAGAGCATAAAACATAGACTTTGCAGAGATGCCTGTATGGCACGAAGCACAGGCCCTCTCGCCGCCGGCTTTAAGCGACAAGAGGCTGCGAGTCGAGCCTCCGAGATGACTGAACTTTTGGCAAAGTTCAACACGGCTTATCATATTGCAAAAAGCGAGATGCCCTTCACAAAGTTTAGGTCCGAGATAATTTTTCTGGCTCAGACTGCATTGGTTAAAGCTTATGGGGCTGTCTTTTTTTTACAGTCTATGGGGCTGTCACGTGATGAGCGAACGACTCAAACCCGAAGACTTGTCAGATAAGAGGTGAGGTGAGCTAATCATAGACTGAAGACCCAGGTAAACAATTAATTAATTTTTTCTGTTTCTTAGTATTTTTGTATTGTTTGTAGTGTGATCAACGTTTGCGTAAGTAGTAGACGTGTTAGGGAAGTAACACGTAACATTTTAATTATATTTTGCTAAAATGAACGAAATGACTCGAAAAAAGATTCGTTCATTTGGCTGAATGAGACTCAAAGGTCCGAGTCGGTAAAATGATCCGAACTTCCCATCACTAATTGACTGACAGCTCTCCTGTCCTCATGTTGAGAGAAATCAGGAGTGAGTGCAGAGGCGTTGTGTGCGCTGAGTAAACATGATGTTACTGTAGCTCTAGACTAAATGTGAATATGCATTTATTCATCTCACCTACACAAAAAAAAAGATTCAGTATTCCTCAAAATCAATAAAAACTTTTTTTTATTGCTGAAGAGTGCTGAACTTTTTTTCTATTGCATCCTATTCTTCATGCAATCCAGAATGACAGCACAACTGAAAGGATTGTTTGAGCTGCACCCTCTACTGTTCGGACGTAAATGAACTTTTCCTTCAGCCTGACGCTTATTCATTTCACTTTTGGTGTGAAAGGACTTTTTCATTTGCCAAAAGTACAACTTTTTTATATAAAAAAAAAACAAGCAAGCCCAGCTCAGATGCGAAAAAGTAATGTAAAAGTAACGTAATGCATTACTTTCCATAAAAAGTAACTAAGTAACGCAATTAATTACTTTTTTAGGGAGCAACGCAATATTGTAATGCATTACTTTTAAAAGTAGCTTTCCCCAACACTGCATTTTATGATATTTTAAACAAATCTATGTTTTATTTTGTGTAAACAGGACTACTTAGAAATCATTAAGTAATAGAAAAAATGTAAAACAGTGTTTTTTATAAAAAAAAATGACTGTGGTGGTACTATACAGTTATATACATAGATGATCAGATGATAATGCAATATTTTGATTAAGTCTATGCCAAAGGCATCACCATATTTCCAAAACATCATGGTACTTTTTAGCATTTTTAAGCAGTTTTTTATAATTAAATCTACAAACCATTAATTTAGTTAATTGATCCTGTTAATTCTCAGTTATGGATAAAAACAAAGTCAAATTATTTAAAGTAAACGTACCTATTAAGCTCACCAAAATCTACATCGAGTAATTTTTAGTGCACAAGATATTGGTTTCAGTACAAGACGTTATATTAAAATAAAATATTAATCTCTCACACAAAAATATTTAATTTTATTTTAAATGACAAAAGCATTTGAATTAAGATATACATCATTAAATGCAAAAAGTCTGGCTGTGCTAATGGGTAAATTTTTGTACCCTTTAAGCACACCCCTGTTCCCATTAAGCTCACATCATGTTTTATTAAAAAGTCTTGTTTATTTTGAACAACATTTTTAAAGAGTAATTGAAAAAATGTTTTATTTGAAGGTACAAAGTCAATCACAAACAACAACAACAACACTAAAATCAAGCAACAAGGCACTCAGTTTGATCAGTTATACATTCATAGTGAAGTGTCATTTAAGCACATTGCAACATCTAGACTAGTCCACATTCAGCGAAGTAACACATATTTAAAAAACAAACATTGGCTCGTAATTACATTGATTTCAATGCGTTCATAATAATTCAACTAAACACTTGGATCAGTTCTCTTGTTTTTTGCTGACAGTAAGAAATAATTGACTTCATCCAGCAATGGACTTTTCTAATTAAACCGGTGTTTAAGTTATTTTATTTTTAGTCAAAGTAACATATTTGATTGGATTAGATGTTTCACAGAAGAGCAGGTGAGGGCTGGGTTGGGCACTGCTAAAGCTTCCTATAAAGTTAACCTTTTACAAAATCTCATGCTATTGCCTGCCCTTGTCTCCATGGCAACTAACTCAATGTTAAGAATGTGGGTTCGACAGCTGATTTCCAGAAAGCACTTATATCCTAAAAAACATGTTGGATAAAAGCATTTGCCAAATAGATGTAATTACAACCAACTAAAAATCCATTCATTAAAAAAAAATCCAAGCAACTCCAAAAGTATTATGTTTGGGGTCTGAACCCTATATTTCACACTTGTCTCTTTTGGGTTTCAGACACCAACATATATTCAGTGTAAAGTAATTTTTTCATGCTAACATTCTCTGATTGATTTATATACTGTAGAAATGCACAAAACAACATTACTATACTGACTAAAAAAATCAAATTTCTTAAAAGTTATCACATCTGTGTAACGGGGCGAACGAGACGTGAGACGTGGGGATCCATTTGCAGGCTTTTATTAAACAGAGACGTGGTCATAAGAGGCATGGTTCAAACAGTTGCAAACAGGTACATTTAGGCAAGACAAAGAGTATTCCTAGGGCAAGCGTGGGTCTACGATCGGCGAACAATATCCAGAGGGCTTGACACAAAGGGTTAATCCAAAATACACAGGCAGAATCAGAATATGGGAAAACTGGCAGGGCAAGACTATGACTAGACTATGAAAACTAGAAACTGGCTCTGTAGAGTAGCTATCGCTAGGAGAGAGATAAACGCTATACAATACTTGGCAATCGGAGCAGGAACTGACTGGGTGTTATGTAGTGTGTGTGATTGGTCTCAGGTGAGCGTGTGATTAGTGAAATGGTGCATGGGAAATGTAGTCCGTGGTGACGTGCAGCAGTCAGTGTAGTGACAGAGTCAATATGATGGACAAGTGACCTCTGGTAGCGATCGGATGGAAGTCCACGGACCGGATTCGTGATAGAGCCCCCCCCCCCAAGGAGCGGCTTCCAGACGCTCCAAACACTGTACGATCCAGGAGGGCGGTGGAGCGGAGGCGGAACAGGGGGAAGGATGGAGGGCCAGGTCCACGTGGAAGTGGAGAGACCAGGGACTGAGGCAGGACCGGCGGAGCAGGGAGCCAGGGCGGAGCCGGCAGTACAGGTGGAGCTGAGGACCACCACAGCAGAGCAGACGGGACCGAAGATCCCCACGGCGGAGCAGAAGACCACCAGAGCAGGACAGATGACCACCAGACCAGAGCAGACGGAGCAGAAGACCACCAGGCCGGAGCAGACGGAGCAGAAGATCACCACAGCAGAGCAGACTTATCAGGAGACCATGGCCGAGACTTGAGACCTCGGAAGAGCAGAGACAGACAACACAGACAGAGTATTCACAGCCCCAAGGACCGAGGCAGGCAACACAAAGGGTTTGGTCTCCTTAAAGATAATTGGGCGGACAGACAGTTCAAAATCAGATACATTAGGGAGAACCGGAGGGGCAGACAGTTCATAATTAAACTCATGGACTGAAACTGGCAAGACAGATAGTTCGTAATTGGGTCCATTAAATGTAACTGGACAGACAAACAGATCATAAACATGCTCAATGACTGAACCTAGACATTTATTCATTTTTTATTTATTTAGTCATTTATTAGACGCTTTTATCCAAAGCGACTTACAAATGAGGACAACAGAAGCAATCAATTGTAGTATTAAAACAACTAAAAACAGATCCAAAACTAAAAGCTAAAACGTTATAGATACTACCTATACACATTTAAAAAATAAAGAGATTAAGAGATTAAATAAAAGAATAAAAGTGTTATATATATTATATATATAAAGCCACCTTGCCAGTACCAAACTGAGTTTGCTACCAAATAAGCTCAGCAGAACCCTGCACGGGCCTCAAACATATGCCCTAGTCCGGCCCTTATCCGACAGATTATCAGAATTACTGGCCGAGTCCCGGTGTCTTTTTTCTCTTTCTCTCTTCCCCAATTGCAGAGCTGCTGTTGTAGCCATTAAAATAGTTCAGTTTAGTTTTTAATGGCAAAAGTGGTTATATATATTTTCGTTTCTTTATTACGTTGTAGCACGGTCTCGTGTTGTTTCCCAGCGCGGCAAATCTTTGTCATCACCATAATAATCGATGGATATCTAAAATATAAAAATAAGGAGGAAGCAAGCCTGATGCCTGGCCCGTGTCTGAGCTATGACGTGAAAATTGTCCCGAAGCCATAAATAAGTTGGGGCCGTTGGGCTCGGGCTGAAATGCAGGGCTCTAAAGCGCAGCTTGTTGCATTTAAGCAGCAAAAATACACACAAAATGACACCAAAATGGCCATCCTGGCCACACAGTTAAATAAATGATAATAATCAGTGATGTGATATGTGAAATGTAGAGTAACATCTGGCGCAGTTGCAGCTTGTACTTATGGCTAAAACAAGAAAGCAAACAAGTTGCATTAATAGTCATTCATTTTAGTTAACATATGCTATGATAATTTGAACAGATTTTTATTCTTATTGTAAAATAATGGAACATTTAGGTCATGAATA